ACTGGGGTTTATTGTGGGTGATGAAAGTCTTGGTGATGTTAAAAGAAAGCCAACTTGTTGTTCAATTAATATCTGTACTTTGTTCAAATATTTTTGAAATATTTTGTTCAAGTAATTTTGAAAATAGTGTTGACATGATTGCAGAGGTGTCCTCAATTTGGGGACCTGGCATATACAGTTACAGAGCAACTGTGTTGTGGCTTGATCATTGCTACTCTTAATGGCTTCAGTGAGCACAAAAGCCACAAGACATTTGGCCAAAATTACAAGAGAGTTTCAAAGCCAAATCTGGAGCTGGACTCAGCTTCACAGCATCACTACCATTCCCAAGAAACAGGGACAAACAACAACCAAACTACAAGTTCTTTTGTAATATTACAAAAGACCAAATACATACATTTCTACTGTTCTACAGGCTTCATGAAAACACTTTCTTCATAAAAGACTTCCAGGATGAAAAATAGCACACACAAATGTATTAATTTTCTGTCCATTCTGAGGTGACATCACCTTCCTATTACAACAAGACAAGGACTGTGGTTTGGTTTTGGTGTGTGTTTTTTTAAATACTTCTGTTGATTTCTGTCTGTAGGTCTCAAGCAGGTTTTTTACCTTTTTAGGTATCTAATCTTACACAAAGGATTAAATTTTTTATCTTTCAAAACTTACTCCAGTTAAACATCAGCTTAAAGAGGACAGCAAGATGCCCAGCTAGCTTAAAGAGCATTATTATGAGATGCTTCTGGAAGGAAGTAGCACTCCCATCACCATGCAATTGTGAAATCACTCCCTTAAAACAACTAAAGCCACAGAAATCATGGTTTTATAGCCTTTTCTTCTACTGCAGCCTTGCATCTTTTTTTTTTTTTACTTGGCCAAGATATATCCTTGCTATAATTTGAACTTGCAGTTCTCAAGGTAGTTGAGGTGAAGACATACAAGTACTCTTGTGACCATTTTCCCAGATTTTCATTTCTTGGGAACATGCTTATCATACAACATGGCGTGATCAACAACAGAGCAAGCAAGTACAGATCTGTGACTACTTTTTTTACAAAAACACTTCCTGCAAACACTTTGAGATGCCAGTGGATAGAAGGATTGCCTAGGCAAAATATGCTAACAACAGGTGGAACTTCTCATATTTTTATTTTTAATAATTAAAGCTACTATCTGTTAGAGAATCATGCTCTACTGTGCTTGAAATTCTTAATAAATAATACCTTAAGAGTAACTAGCAAAGGGGAGATTTTAATCTTCTTAAAGGTTTGCCTGTGTGATTTTTCAGTTGAAGCATTTTCACATGTAGAGTAGCCAAAAATAAGATTTTTAGAAATCCACATTCAAAAAGGGTTAAATTATCCTCTTTCTATACCAAGATTCAGCCTAGATGTTTGCACATTTCTGGTTTGATGATAACACATCTAGTTCATTTGTCTATCACTCACATCTTCCATCAGTCACTGAAAAGCAGGTAAATTAGCTGAACACTGCATTTAAACATTAAGATTATGGTACTCTGTGCTGTCTTAGACCTCTTAGACTCTATCAGAGTATCTCAGAAGCTTTACAGGCATAAATACTCTATTATTTATTTGTTTTTAATAATAGCCATTAACAAAACCAAAACACGCTTCCCTCAGCTTATTATCTGGGAAACTCAAATACTTGGCAGGGTCCCCTTCTTTCCAGGGTTTCTACATGCACATAAAAACTCTCCCAACATTTTCAAGTTTGATTTTTTTTTTCTTCAACAATTACAAGTAAAACTGACATTTTTTTTCTAATCTATGGATAGGTCAAGATAAACATCCTTTAGTATTTGCATGTATTATAAGACAGCACTCCTTTCTCTTTGTTTATCATGTGAGTTCAGAAATAAAAATCCTAGAACCCACTATTATCTTGACTAAACAAAGGGACAGAAGGCAAACATGATTTTTTCCCTCTTTTTTATAATAATCAGAGTAACACACAGTAGGTATATTGTCTGTCAATGAAAATCTTCTTTCAATTCTCAGAACACTAACTTCCAAATACCAAAACCGAAAGCAAATCTTGTACAAGAAAAATTGTAAACAATCCTGTGTGAATAAATATTCTAGAAAAGAACATTTTAACTCAAATCCACTTTGATGCAATATAATTGAAAAGCAGAGCATGCTGATTTTTTCTATTAAAAACATCCCAGACAACATACAGGGTAATTGCAAGGCACTTGCAAGGCTTTCTGTTGATGTAAACACAAGTTTAAAAAATAAATAGAGCACTCTTTTTACAAATAAATAATAATACTAGATAAATTAATAATCTCCAAATGCCAACATTTTAAACAAATGCTTATCTCTGCTGGATTTTTCAGATCTTGTATTGCCAACTGTTACTTCTAAACCAGAGAGTGTATTTGTTTGCCTTGATGGTACAGTGCCTACAGCTACTGTGTCACGGAACTGCTGCTTTAAATAAGAAATATGCAACATCTTTCATGGCCTTTTTGATCTTGCAAATGCCAGACTTCAGGGCTGTTTGTTTTATCGTCCTACAATTATAATTTATTTGAGGTTTTAATATTACTTATCAGTTAAACAACAGAAACCCGATCATAATTATGTTCTCAGCAACACTATCTTGACATTGTGTAGCTCTAACTACTGCTTGCATTGTCTGTAAACCCACAATTCTTCCAAAATTTGTAACATCATTTGCCAGCTTCCTTAACTGGAGAACAACAAACGCACCAGCTCCAGGTAATTTCAGTTCCTCCTTCCATTAGAGCCAGGGAGCATTCTAAGGAGATCTGCATGGTCTTGATTTAGTCAAGAAATGGACAATTATAAAAAAGCAACACTTTAAAATGAAAATTTAAGCAGACAACTTTATTCTACAGAGGCCAAAAAGAATTTTTTAGATTTTTTTTTTAATAAAGTCAGTACATTTTTTTTATTTAGCCTGCAAGTCAAATTTCACCTATTCGCATTTCAGAATACTTTAACTCTCCATTTTAATTTAGCCCTGTAGTGAATGCTAGTCCATAAATGAGAAGATACTGTCCAAAAATAAGCACAATAGACAACAGTGTATCCTGTGTTCTTGGCAGCGTTGACCCCAAGGACAATTTCACTGCTGAGTTACCCTAAGCTCCTTTTTGACTGCTGCCCTTTCTCACCCACAAATACAAAATGTCTTCCTTCCAAAAGACCTAAAATTCTGAGGCTAAACATTGTTACTTGACCTCTCACACTATTTCCCGAACGAACTTACAGTGGAAGAAACTTTCCCCACAGTTCAGTGGGAAAAACCCACAAGGAAGCTTTGATTTTATTTTTGTTTTCTGTGCAGAAGAGTTACATTTCTAGAAACACCAGTGATACACACAGAATCACCACTGAGGGCACAATAATTCAAATAAATCTCTGCAGTGTGATGTTTAAGACACAGGATTGGGCTATCCCAGCAAATAATTCTGCAAGATGCAACTCCACGTGCCCCCTTGCAGATAGAGGAGACAGTTTAGGGCTCCCTGGTGTCTCCCATTCCCTTTTCCCCCCACAAGATCCAGCTGCAGTTCTCCAGTCACAGAATCAGTCAGGTCAAAGGGTCAACAGTGGGTCATCTGGCCCAGCCTCTGAGTCTCTCCCTCCCAGGACACCACAGCTTGCTCTTGTCAGAGGATAACATTACACTAGTTCAGATTACAAGGCAGCTTCAGACAACAGGTGAGGAAGCAAAAAGCAACGAATGTGTGGGAAGAAACAGCAAAATTTCAGTCTCCACTCATCACCAAAAAACCTCAACCCCAAACTTAGGACAGGCTCAAACCAAGGTTGCAGTGTAAACATATACTGCCAGGTACTGACAGCAGCAGTAGCACAAAACCTCCCTCCCTGCTTATTGACAGTTTTAAACTATCTTTCAGTTGAAAATTCTGTCAAAGTAACAGTGAGAAATAAGAAGCAACCAGTTTATAAAAGTGAATAGCATGATGGATGACAGAGAAAAATCTTTATATGGGAAAGCTTTCTGCCTCAAGAACTGACTGGGGCACGTTGCTCCTCACTGGCAGCAGCAAAATGAAAGTTCAAGTCCTGTGATCCATAATCTTCGCTTTTTTGGAAATGATGGACTTAATTCCTTTATTCTTATTTCTTATTCACACTGAGCAGTATGCTTCTTCTTCTAGGGCTTATTTGTAAACCAAGAAGGACAAAAGAATTAGAGTCAATAGACTGTATAGACACAAAAGCCACATTTCAAAATGTGAATTGTCTGTGAGTTGATAAATACAAACGCAAGGATTTTTACCTCAGAGACAGTCCAGACAATATCTTTGGCAAATATTAATTGCGTCTTTCATGTGGAAGAGAACTATGAGAACTAAATAGCAATTTAAATTAGTAAAAATTAGGTATTCCACTCTAGATAAGATCTTACTAGAGGGGGCTGGTTGGCTTCTCACTATAAATTTTTTTTCTGTTTAGCAAAGCAAGCCAAACCCTCTTAAGTTGCATTTTATAAAAATAAGCCAGTCTGTTATCAGCATAGCAATGCTCCCAAGACAAATTATACCACTAATCATCTTATGCCAGGAAAACTTCCTCCTGTAGACATACAATTAATCAGACCAGAAGCTCTACCCAATCTGCAACGAAAGGTATTTCATGTGTGGTTACCTGTGCAGTGCAGCTCTGGCAACACACAGAGCTGTGGTAGCACCAAAACTTGAAGCATCTGCCTTAAAAGGGAGTTATGTCCTAGATAATTAGCCCTGCTGAAACCATCTCCTTCTATGGGACTTTCACTAGAAACCACTTTTGGTAGGAACAAGAGAACTAAGGGGGTTTAAAACCCTGGGTCTCTCATACACAGAAGGGTCAGGGGAATAAACCAAAAAAAAAAAAAAAAAGAAAACCCACACAAATTATTCTCCTTTATATCTTGTTAAGGATTAATTTCTTGTGTTTTGGTGGAGGTGTCTTTTTTTTTTCCTGAGTAACCCTGACTTGGAATATATTCAGCATACACCTTCTGAAAATTCACAGATCTGTGAAGAATGTCCAAGGAGATTTCATTTGGTTCTCTGAGTGATCCCAAACTGTAAAAAAAAAAATGAAACAAAATACGGTTTCTCCAAAGTAGATCTGCCCTCTAGCACTTAAAAAGAAGTAATTGCTCAAGTCCTTCAATTCCAGTGAAGAAACAAATCACAAAGAATGCCGAAAGTCCAAAATAAACACACATTCTACGAGATAAGTACACACACCAACTTCTCAACATACCTTGCAAGCACCCTAACAATTCTTATTCTCTACTATTGGCAGAATACACAGTGATCTTTCTGTGTGACTGTTGTAACTTGCTCTGTAATTTTGTGCCAAAACCAGCAACGTGGTAATGACATTGAATAGGTAATTAGTAACTATTAGAGCAGTATACAAACTAGGGCGTAGTCAAGGTGCGAGCATCTGTCTAAGCCACCTGGAGGGATTTGGCTTCCTAACAAAGCACCAGGGATGGTGGTGCCTCTGTAAAAGTTTGTGTAAATCACTCGGACGGGCTATCAAAGGGCGAAACAAACCTGAATTTCATGTGAAATCCTAGCACGTGAAAAACGTGAAGTAGGAGAAAAATTTTATAGCTTTACTGCCCTTTAAAAAACCCCACATTAACAAAGGCACACACAGCAAAACACAACACCTTTGTGGATGGAGTTTCAAGGAAAAGGGGCTTGGGGTCCTCTTTCCTGCTAAGGGTTTTTTTAAATGTCAGGGATCTGAGATACTCTGTAGACTTTTCCAGCTTCAAGTGACATGGGAGAACTGGGTAAATTGTATTTGTGTGTTCCTCATGGAGTACACAAAGCTTTTCTTTCCTGGGTGGCAGCTACAGCCAGCCCAACCCCAGAGCCATCACCTTTTTTTACACTCTCTGCTACCAGCAGCTGCTGCAAGAACAGGAATTCTAGTTTATTCTTCCTCAATAGCTAATGGAATTTTCTTTGTTTCTCCACTATTCAATCAGGGAAGAGGAAGAGGGAGAGATGACAAACCCTTGTGAACATAGCTCAATATTTATGTGATATTAGAAACTATAATTGTCATGTTCCAAGAGGATTAGTAGAGTATTGGTAACTTGGTAGATTTCACCATTGTTAAAGTCTTGTAAAAAACATTATTGGAAAAAAATTTCCAGAGCTGGTTCATACTGGAGAATCATTCTGTGCTTGAAATAAGTTTGGGGACATAATATTGCTCAAGGAGTAATAACGACTTGAAATACAATCATTGTTCCAAACAGACAAATCCAGATAGCCCTCAGAACCTCAACCTTTCCCCTTCCACAAAACTAGATGCCAAATATAAATCACACAGCCTAGACTTGATTCATAGGCATATCACTGCAGTTTTTCCACCACCATAACCTCTGCAACTACATTAGAATGAGATCAAGTAAACCAGCAATTCCAGCCTTCCCACTTGTAGCCAAAAGATAAAAGGATTCAAAGGATGACAAAAAAATTGAGCAGGGAGCTTTATATGGATGTGGTACAAGGGGAGGTTGGCCCTCCAGAAAGCAGGAGTGTTTGCAAAGCCTGGCAGTGAGGTTATTGGTAATGGAGTACAGCTATAATACCAACACAAAGATGTTTCCAGGTTTTAGCTACCACTGCAAAGAGAAAAACCCAAAATGCTAAGTTATCACACATATGGAAAGCTGAAGGGATTTAAGGGGGATTACAATCCGAGCAGGTAAAGTCTCTGGAGATTTATGGTTCTGTGACACATGAACAGAACACTGGAGGATTCTTTTAAACAAACTCAGGACTCATTACCCCATATAATATGCTTAGCACTACTGTTTCCTGCACAACAGATTTTAGAGTTTGTTTTGAAGTCTTTGGAGCCCAGAGGTTATTCTAAAATGCACCTGAACAATCATAGCTCTACTACAGATCAAATACTGGCTTCTCACAAACTGTATTTTAATATAGTGCAAGCAATTACTCCAAAGAGTATCTAATACAGACAGACCTGAAGAGGCCACTCTGTCCATTAACAGTTAACTCAGCAACATGTCTGTGCTTGTACCTGAGTTACCACAGCCTGGAGCAAAGAGAAGGCCACTTCAGTAGAGCAAAGTGAACTACACCAACACAGTTACTAAGGACTAGCTCTGAAACACCTCAGGTATTGAACAGCTTCAGATCTTCTAAAGGGTAGACAGAACTGAGAACATTAAATAGACATGAAGACTTGAATATATGTACTTAAGATATGAAAAGTATCTGCTTATCAACTCATACCCAGAAAAAGTAAAATCCTACTGCTTTTAGCTATTTCTAGCTGCCTTTTTGAGCTCCTAACTACAGAAAGAGGTAAAAAGCACAATCAAACTGTCCTTAACTAAAGAGCTATGCTGCGATGCTGTGTCTGTAAAGTTCAGTAAAAGTCTGTATTTCTAGCACAGCCTCAGCATAGACAGACACTGGCCCAAATTCCCACCTGGGCTGAAGAAGTTTCCCCTGCCTGCCCACTTGCTCTGCACTGAGAATCAGCTGTAATTATTGGCCCCAGCTGTGAGGGCAAGAGAGAGGCTTTCCCTGATCCGTGCTGGGGAGTCATGAGGGCCTAGAGCTGGAAGAAAAAACTGGGAGGAACAGCAGAAATGCTGCCACAGAGTTGTCTGGTTGCTGGATTGCCTGCACTAAAAATAAAAGCCTTTGGTAACAGCAGTGTTAAAGCCTGTACAGTGTGAGATGCAATAAGTGAAAATGTATCAGTAGCACTGCCAGAACTACAGTTATTGCAAATCTGCTTTGGTTGTTAAATAGTTAGTGAATATCTCATACGCTAGGTTTCCTAAAAAAAGAGGAGCATGATTAGTCATGGCTGGGCTTCGCGAACGAAGATTTGAGAAGGGCTCTACTCACACTTGCTAGAAGTGCGCTGATGGCTAAAAAGGCCAATGCGAGATAGACAAGTCCGGTTGCAGAACGTACAGCAGAAAGACTCCCCAGGTGATATCGACAAGACGCGATTCTTTCTGCGTTGTCTTTTCTCCTCGAGAGTGATCCTGCGTGTGTTCTCAAAAGCAGCAGCAGTGTTATAGATGGTGTGTTTCCAGGCCTCCCGATTGGAGGCCAGGGTAGACCAGTGGTGGTGATCAATATGGCCAAGGCTGAGGGATTGTTTCAGGCAGTCCTTGTATCTCCTGTTTGGGTCTCCTCTCTTGCGGCAGCCAGTAGCAAGTTCCCCATATAGCACGATCTTAGGGAGGTGGTGGTCCTGCATCCTGGAGACATGCCCTGCCCAACGCAGTTGAGTTCTCAGCAGCATGGCCTCAATGCTCGTGACTGCTGCCTGCTCAAGGACAGATGTGTTGGTCACATAGTCAGTCCAGTGGATGTTTAGGATTGTACGGAGGCAGCGCTGATGGAAGCGTTCTAAGAGACACAAGTGGTGGCGGTAAATGACCCATGATTCAGATCCATATAAAAGAGTAGACAGTACGATGGCTCTGTAAACACCGATCTTAGTACTTTTCTTCAGGTGTTTGTTTCTCCATACTCTTATGGAGTTTACCAAAAGCTCTGTACGCCTTTGCTAGCCTGTTGTCTATTTCAGCATCAATCTTACCATCTGAGGAGATGATGCTCCCCAGGTAATTAAACTGTTGGACTGATTTGAGCGCTGTTTCACCAATGGTGATATGGGGATGATGGAAGACTTCCTGAGGTGCAGGCTGATATAAAACTTCTGTCTTCTTCAAGCTGACTTCCAGACCAAAAAGCTCAGCAGCCTCTGCAAAGCAGGATGTTAAATGATGCAGAGCTACTTCTGTGTGAGCGACGAGGGTGGCATCATCAGCATAAAGCAGCTCACGGACAAGATGGTTTAAGGTCTTAGTGTGGGCCTTCAGTCGCCTTAGGTTGAATAGGCTCCCATCAGCACGATATCGAATGTAGACACCGTTTTCATCATCGAGGTCTGCCATGGCCCTTTGGAGCATCATGCTGAAGAAGATCGTGAATAAGGTTGGTGTGAGAACGCAGCCTTGCTTCACACCATTAGCTATTGGAAACAGCTCAGAAAGTGCGTCCCCATATCTGACTTGACCGCGCTGGTCCTCACGAAGTGAGATGATCATTTTGAGGAACTTGGGGGGACATCCTAAAGGTTCCAAAATCCGCCACAGACCTTTTCTGCTCACAGTATCAAAAGCCTTGGTGAGATCAACAAAGGTAACATGTGTTCTCTGCACTTCTCTTGTAGTTGTCTGAGAACATATACCATATCATAACACCAGTTCTGCGCAAGCTGAGCCTCACCTAAAAAAAAAGCACAATTAGTGACAGTAAAATTATTGGTTGTGAAAAAGCAAATAAGGCAGGTCTTAGGTATTGGAAGGATTATCTACTGAAAGAAAACATCCTTTGCTATATCAGAACTTAAAACAGGTGAAAATTAAATCAGAAGTTTTCTCTAATAAGTAAATAATATTCATCAACTTCTGATTTTCAAATAACATTACCCCCTTGTACAGATTATGTGCTTATTAACCATGATATATGGAAAAGTGTCAAAACACCGTCAGTTTGACAAGAAAGCTTCAGAAATGCCAAGACTGGAACAAGTAGCTACATTCAGCCTACATTATAAGTATATCTAAGTCTGTCAGAACAAACTGATGGCTTCTGGAGATCAGTCTGCATGAGGTACTACAGTGTTGGATCCACTTGAGCTGCTTGTGGCACCAATTACAAAATCTTAGTTACCCATAATGGGTAGAGAGTTTTACAGAAATATCCTAAATCAAAATGTCAGAAAAAAGTGACTCTCAGAATGCTAACAATTTCCAGTTCACTGTTCTTTCTGCAAGTTCCTTCTTCAGTCCAGCTGAGAGAAAAACAAGCAACACAAACCAGGTTTGTGTGTGCAGCAAGGTGAAGGGATAGTCTGACTCCAAAAGCCAGCACAATGCTTTTATTCTGTGCCAAATCCTCGAGGGCCTCTTTAAAATTCATCAACAGACAAAAAGCTACAAAAACAAGGGGGACATGAGTTCACACTAAAAAAATCCACACCTCTCTCTGCT